ACCCATAACATCCCATTCTATATCTCTAAGATCCATTTTAATATTGTCCACCCACCTACTCCTTGGTCTTCCCAGTGGTCTCTTTCCTTCTGGCTTTCCCACCAATATCCTATATGCATTCCTTGTCTCCCCATTCGTACTACATGCCCTGCCCACCTCATCCTCCTTGGCTTGATCATTCTAATTGTACTTGGAGTAGAGTACAAGTTATGAAGTTCCTCATTATGCAGTTTTCTCCAACCTCCTGTCACTTCATCTCTCTTCTGTCCAAATATTCTCCTCAACACCCTGTTCTCAAACACCCTCAGTCTATGTGCCTCTCGTAATTTCAGAGACCAAGTCTCACACCCATATAGGACCACAGGCAAAATTATAGTTTTATACGTATATTCTAATTTTTATGTTTTTGGACAGCAGACGAGAAGACAATAGGTTCTGAAATGAATGGTAGCAAGCATTACCCGAGTTCAATCACCTCTTAATTTCCTCTTGAATCAGGTTTCGATCTGTTATTATTGTTCACAAATATCTGAATTGTGCCACATTTTCAAAACATCTGTTTCCTATCTTTATGTTATGAATTTGCCCTGCGTTTTGGTGACGAGACAGTAACATATACTTAGTTTCCTCTGTGTTTACTTCTAGACCAACCTCTTTACTTGCGTCAGTTAAAGTTTGTGTTTTTTTCTTTATGGTATCTGCATTATCACCCAGTAAATTCACATCATCGGCACAGACTAACAGCTGATATGTCCCGTTCATTTTCAGTCCAACCTGGTTTCCCTGGACCTTCCTAATTGCATATTCTATGGCAAAGCTGAAAAGGAGTCACGATAAAGCATCTCCTTGTTTTAGACCATTCTGGATACGAAATTTATCAGACAAATATTTACCTACACGGAATTTACTATACGTTTCGTCTGAACACATTTTAATCAACCTAACTAGTTTAATGGGTATCCCAGACTCTATTAGAGTGTTGTATAATACTTTCCTCCTAACTGAATCCTAGACTTTCTTGAAGTCTATGGATATCTGATGTACTGTCTCATTGCACTCCCATTTTTTCTCCAACTTCTGACGAATGCAAAGGTCTGATCTGTAGTTGATCTGTTACGTCGATACCCACACTGATGTTCCCCAATAATTTCATCTGTGTATGGACTTAACCTTGAGAGAAGGATATTGGATAAATTCTGTATGAAGCTGATAGCAGTGGTATCCCCCAATAATTACTCCAGTCAGACTTATCACCCTTCTTGTGAACTGTGAGCCGCTTCCTCTGCTACCACTTGTGCCGTCTGTCCGCTCTGGGACTATATGTACCACTTGTACCGTCTCTCTCTGGCACCTTTCGGCTCCGTCTACCTTTCCTCAATCGGAGGGGGAAACGTTGTTCCGTCATACGGCTCTCGTGCTGTGCTCGCACGCTCCCTAACTTAGTGTAAGGGATCCAAGCTAGCAGCGAAGTAAATGTAGTTACAAATGATGGCAATCAATATATTAACAAATAACAGAATTTAATATACACAACAGAAATTAAACAGAACAACTGAACTAACTGCACATTTACATGCTCGCACACAGCGGCATCTAACTCGGGCAGAATGGCCCATATTACTGGCGCAACAATTTGCCTTGGTTGCTTGAAAACATAACTACTACATTATAGCCGGGCCACAGGCTGAGTCTAAACTAAATACACAATATAAATTATAAAAACAGATTTAACCAAACTGGTACGAGTCGCCGCCGTCCTACAAACCCAACGACGGGCGACCGCGGGCGATCTCGTCGGCCGCGAACCAGCCCAGTACTTGCCGAAACCAAATTTGGACTCCCAGCCGAACAGGAATTTGACAGTCGCTCCGGCTGGCTCGGCGCCGCGAGCAAGGCCCTATGGATCCATAACCAGAACTGAACTCAGAACTCGAATTAACTTCCAAGTAAGGCTCCCAGGGATAGAAAGGAGGGGAGAGGGCAATACCACGTGACCCAGTCCCGCATGGGGATGGGGTGGGGGATAAGTTTAAGAACCTCGATCAAGGGGCTAGAAGCCCATGACGTCATACCGGAGCCACTGCATGGCTCAACTGGTACAATAATAGACTCCTTCCACTGATCAGGCAATTTTTCCTTATGCCAAATAGAAGTAATTAGATTGTGGATCTTAGAACGTAATATTTCGCCTCCTGCTTGAATAAGTTCTGCTGGAATTTGATCACTACCTGGCGATCTGTACCGTTTCAATTTTGCAATAGCACTTTCAACCTCAAAAGGGCTAGGATCAAGTATTAACTGCTCAGCTGTATGGATTTCTGTCTGCCTAACATCACTGACCCTATGTACATTCAATAACTGAGAGAAGTAGTTCCTCCACCTATTCAAAATATTGTGGGAATCTGCAAGCAGATCTCCGTTCTCATCCTCCACTAAGTTACTTCTAGGCTGGTAACCCCTCTTAAAGTCATTTATTCCTCCATACAGGTCTATGTTCTTCTTCTTACTGTTCATTGCAAGTTCATCAGTTTTGCCTTTCAGATATTCCCTCTTTATTCCTGAAATGCCTGCTGGTTTCACGTCTTGTATTGTTCAGATTATCCCCACTTAACTCGCTTGGATCCTGTAACCATTGCAATTTGGCCTGCTTTCTATGGTCTAATAATTTTGAGCATCCTTCATCGAAACATGGCTTATGCTTCTTCGGTTCATAATAACCTAAATTCTGTTTGGCAGACATTTTTATATTCTCTCTAATAGTTTTCCAAGTTTTATTAACATCCACCTCAGTTTCCAAGTTTTCCAAAGCAGCGAACCTATTTGAGATTTCGACATGATACTGCTCTTTACTCTCTGCCTCAATTAATTTCCTGAGATTGAACCAGAGAGAACTATATGAATTATTAATTAATTTTCTAAAGCATTCCCCAGAATACAATTCTGGATACTCTTCAAGACTTGCTGAACATGGAGATTGCGCAATGGCAGTTAACCTTAATGCATGACATTTTGTTCTGGGCAAAGAATTGGGCGAGGAAGCTGGAATTCGTTCTTGCCCATGTTCTCAAAACTGGTCCCAAACCCCAGTCATTCTTGTTGTCTATATTCGCCATGAAAATGGCCAAGGCAGTAGAGATTCTAAACTAGAATAGTGGAATCTATTATCATTTTTCGTCACCAAAATAAAAGTTTTCTCAGTAGAGGTCCTTGTGTCATTTCCAAGCGCTCTGCTTAATTTCTACGGAGTCATTTACCGCTTAATTAGGCAAGAACTAGACAAGTTAATTTCTTGCATTTTCATGTTTTGGGTTTGCAACAAAGTATTTGATTACAACCGCACAGAGCTTGTAAGAAAGAGCGCGAATTTTTAGATTGTAACTGGGGTAAAAAATGTAGCCCGCTTGGTTATGATACCGTGCAGCCCGATGGGTTGTCTCGGACAAAGCAGCTTCCTCATGTTCAGGCTAGAAGTTCTATTAAATTTATCTACATATGGCTCTACAGTCCTTTTGGGCCTTGGCCGATTTTTCAGTTTATTAATCTCCACACAATCGGTAGAACATCTTGGACGAGGGATCAGCCCATCGCAAGGCGGTTTCATGCACACAGAACAACATAGACACAGAAGAAACGCAGACATAATTCATGCCTCGAGTGAGATTGGAACTCACGATCCCAGTGTTCGAGCGAGGGAAGACAGTTGATGCCTTAGACAGCGGGGGAATGGAGCACTGTGTTCGTCTTTGCCCATTAAAGGAGCTTATAGAATAAAAAGAAGAAATGAAGTTAATGTAACGAAGCAAGTGAATTCTGTTCAAAGACGACAGACAAGTCAATTATGTCAATTTAAAAAATTCTCATAGAATTATGTTAGTAACGATGAACTCTAACTGTACAAATTGTAATGTTTCATTTGTCATGATCATCATCATTGGCAAACAGTCTTTTCTGACATATAACATTCTTTAGAAGATTCTGCTAAATTTGTTTACAGGCCGTCCGGTTTTCTCTTTCTTGGATTTCGTAAGAATAATTCTTTTTACAGAAGAAAGTCGTCAGCTTTGCGTCCAACCCCACCCCAACCTGGAGGGCCAGGTCTCTGTATTTACGTCCCCCAAAGACAGGGTGACTTGGTTATAACTCCAGGCACCAGGTTTCCTCTTCGTCCCCCCCTTCGACTCACAGGGCTACGGTGGAAGTCTTACAACCCGCCTCTACGCGGGGCTCTCTTTCACTGTCACAAATAACTTAGTAGCGTGACTACATAAATGTCACACGGTTTCAGCCTTTCACGTCGATGCTGTCCCCTTTTTGGCAACGGTACCTTGTAGTCTATGCGTGGGTTGTCATGTCGACATTTCGGAGATAATTGCTGGCTTCATATAGTCACCATTCAAAGCCTCATCACACAGTCTATACAATCCCCCTAAAGTAATGTGCTTATATAACCTAAAATAAGCCAATGAATGATAGAGTTTATGCACTCGCATGTTAAAATAGACCGATTTCCAGACACCTGAAACCTTGCAGATTTCAGTCTTGCCTTCAATTACGGAGGCCGAAAATTCCGCCAAAACTTTGGTGGCGTTCTACGGGATTATACGGCGTGAGAAGACACATTCACAGCTGTGCGAATTGCAGACCTTACATGAAGTCATTTTTGTATTACTACCATTCCCATCACCGCCACCGCCACCGCCACCGCCACCGCCACCGCCACCAACATATTGCCGTTGTAGTCGAACAGGATTTTCACCAACCGTCCGAAGAACACGGGCTATGTAGTAAGAAGAGGAGCCAGTAGATGGCTGCCCTGTTTAGAATTCATTGTTACGAGTACTTATCAGCTCGCCACGTGTGTATAGAACCCAACAAACTTATCATCATTGAGGGTGGAGGGCAGATCAGGCGTAAAGAAACTGGTTTTGTGGGAATGGAGCGTTCGTTCAGGTACGCGGGCGGTGTGGGGTGGGGGTTGGGCATTCCGAGAGGTCTGCCTGTCCGAGGCAGCAAGCCAGAGCTTTCCTAACTAGTCTTCAAGGTTGCTGCAGTTCAACGCGGTTACGGTGTTCAGTTTTTTCTTTTAGTTTATAAACAAAATTCCAGATGGAATTCAGTTGCAATGGAGCACTGAATGAAAAGGGCGCTGGTGTTAAAACTTTGACGTGTTTCTGAGTTACTCTTTCGTGTGCAAGCTGTGAATGGTTTGAAAAGTGACAGTGTATATGTGAACTGTTTGCGTGTATTTGTGCTGGGAAAAATATGGATATTAACTTTGTGAATAGAATGAAGATTCAAAAGGAGGTAAGTTTCATTGGTCTATTTAAAAAAAGGGTTTTGGCTTTATAAACTAATTATGTGCAAATGACTCCACAGAACAGAGTTTTTTTCAACACTTTTTGTTTCTTCATTACCATATTCACAAAAACTCATTACTGGTCCATATTCTGAGGCAGATAAATCCAAACTACATCCTCAAACCTCATAAGATCCATCTGATATTATTCTCCATCTATGCCTAGTTCTCCCATGTAGTCGTTACCCTTCCGGCTCTTCAACTAGAAGTCGTTATGTGAACGCAAGCCGTTGCTTAACGTCACTAAGCAAGACGCTCTCAGATGGCAAGGATTGATACATAATGAGGAACGAGTTCATGCAGGTTTAGTTCAGAGGGCAATAAAACCATTCCTTTACACGTGGCTGAATTCTAAATAAAAGCTCAAAGAATGCAGAAGCCGTTCAGAAATGTGCTCATTCAAACGTCAATTAGGTGATGGGTCAATAACAATGCAACTCCTCAACAGTTGTCTGTTTGAATTTGCCTTCTGACAGTTCAACTGCGACAAAGAAAGCGTTCGCTACGCTTACCAAAGTTGTTCAGAATGTTTCAATAATTTTACGTCACACATTTGCTTCACGATTAATAAAAATGTATGGTTATACACTTATTTTTGCAGCGCTGCTGTAAGCGTTGATGCTGGTAAAGGAAGAATAGGGTTGTAACATTACTTTCCCACACTCTTCGCCACAGATTCAGGAATGCCCAGAGGAGTTTCGGATACCATAAGTACGTGGATCTACACATCCCTTCCCATACGACTTAATGGGGTAGTGCTTGATTAGTTAAGCACAGCGACGATTTCACCTTTTTGAAGTACGTTGGTAGGTACGGGATAAGCAGAATTTTATTTTTCCTTTTTGAATGTCTGGTCAAAGTTTCTTCCGTTGAAGCCGTGTTGTTCGACGGACACGTTGACTTCAAAATGGGGTTTTGTTGCTTAACGAATGACTATGCTGATGTTAACGACTACACTACGACTTCAGAGTAACTGATTTTTAGAAATGAATAGCTCACTCTTTATCGCGACGGACTATGGGCTGGACGACCGGAGTTCTCTTCCCGGCAGGAGCAAGAGACTTTTCTCTATATCACAGAGTTCAGATCGGCTCTGAGGCCCACACAGCAAACAATGTAGTGCGTGCCGGGGGTTCTTACCCCGGGGATAAAGAGACCGAGGCGTGAAACTGACCACTCATCTCCATCTGGTGCTGAGGTCAAGAAAGGTGGAACTATACCTCCACTCCCCCGTACATTTTCACGGCATAGCGTCTAATTAAGCACAGGGACTATTTTACCTTTAAATTTTCATTATATTATATTATATGATTAAAATATATTAAATTATTATCTATAGTGTATACATATGCATTCAAAAGCTGTAAATAATGTACTTATGTTTAGGGGTCATTATATAAGGAATACTAAACCACTGGCGATTTCATACCATGAAAACTGTGTCGTAGAGAAACTGTCAAAATGAGTAAGCACGTTTACATTAAGGGTAAGTTACAAAACCAGTAATAAGAAGAGGGGTAGACTAAGGGCCAAATATATATTTTAGGTTTGGTTGTTGAAAGACTTTGTCAGAATCGAGGCAAATTGCGTTGCTGAGAGGATGATTGATGAATGTCGAGGAGTTGGTGAAATGAGAATTGACAAGGGAAATATAATTACTTGGAGAAAACCCGCCCCTGATCCACTTTGTTCTGCACAAATCCCACATGCCGAGACCTGGGACCCAGTCTACTCCTCTGTTTTGGGAACTGTGTTACTGCAGAGAAACCTTCGAAGATGATTGCGTGTGTAATATCTGGCCAAATTTCTGTAGATCTGGCAAAATCGCTTATGCGGGATTCATCCTGTTTAAATATATCAGCCTAGCTATCGTGTATTATGGCTACTCTTTTGCCTTTCAGCCTGTGGTCCTCTACATATTTTAACCTTTCTCTGTTGGCGATACAGTGACATCACAGGTTGTGTTGTACAGTTTGTACAAATGTGTATCTCCCCTCTCATATGTACCCGCTAAACACCCTTCTGCTATTTCTTTTGGATCTGTAGTTAACATAACACTGAGGCCGCGCCATAGCTCAAGCGGTTAGTTGCTGGCTTCCCACCGCGGCGGGCCGGGTTCGATTCCGGGTCTGGTCAAGTGGGATTTGTAGTGGGCAAAGCGGCGCTAGGGCAGGTTTTCTCCGAGTACTTCGGTTTCCCCTGCCAATCTTCATTCCACCAATTGCTCCACAATCACCCTCACCTATCATCTGGGGCTGGTACAATAGGCCAGAAGTGGCCGCAGTACAAGGGACTTAGCCCCACGCCACTAGCAATAAAAAATAACATAACACTAAATGGTGCGTTCTTTTGTCATTGGATTGATACAGAACTGTTGGTATTTTTCGCTTTTGACTGATCATTAAAATTCACAAGTACAAATATTTATTTCGCATAAGAAAAGGTGAAGCTATCCCTGTAACAGGCTGTGAAGGGCCATTGGGTTTTGAGACGCCGAAACTCCCAAATTTTCTAGACAATCAGGTCACAGAAGGCAGCGAGGTTGTCAGCCTTACGGCCCGGCCGCCCTTTACCCCCAAAATTCCTGGTGCTCATTTCTGTTAGAAGGTGATTCGACCCCAGGGCCATAGTGCGGTTGGAAGGATTAGATCAATTTAAAAACCCAATAATTTGATCTGGAATAGAACCCGCGACCTTCCGGCCTGTAGCATAGTGCCTCAACCAATTACTCTACCGCTTGCCCCTTTATTTCGCATTCGCATGTGATGCACTGGTATGAAGCGAAGTGCGTAACGTGACCAGTAGTAACGGAGTCAAAGACAAAGCGAAGTACTTCAAAAAGCTTAACATGGCGGGAATAGTAACATAATGGAATAATTAAGCATTTAGTATGTATCGATATTAACACGGGAAATTACAAGACTATTTTCTATAAGTTGGCTGAGTGTGTGTGCGGCCAACAGAGACGAGTGGTTTTGCTGCACGTGACATGGAGCCTGACCTCTTAGTTTCAGTTACGAGTATTTGGACAGCAGCTTTGAATTCGTTTCTTCCCGACATGTGGTTCTTATGGATCTTGGCTGGCTGTCATCAGCTTCGTTTTATAGCAAATTCATTTTCTTCATTGAAGTTTATTTAACGACGCCGTGGTGACTCATGATTGTAGTAGCGTCTAGTAATTTGATGATACTGAATGAGTTGGAAAGGATATAAAACGGAAGATCTGTGTCTAATTTAAGATACTGTTCCGCGTTTTCCTGGAGGTACAGAAGAAAACCATGGGGAACCTCATTCAGGATAGTGGATCTCGGCTGAGAATTGACGAATGCAAGTGAGAATTACCATTTGAGCCATCGTGGCCGGTAGCATATTTCCAAGAGGCCCGTACACGAAACAAGATTTGCATTTTCCCATTTCTATGCGTCTGCCTCATAGAAATAGGAGAAGCTACTGTCTGAGCCAGTTTTCTCTGTGATTCCTTTGGAAGGAGTAAGAACAAGAGTAAAGTCCCCCTCCCCTCAATTCTTTCTGATTTTTAAACAAATATCTCACGAATACTAACTAGATTTGTTATTTCAGCACGCTTTCACCGGAGTTGTCCGCAGTCTCTCTCATTTGCGTTAAAAAGGCACGGCTCTACAGAAAGGCGTGACTCCCACAGGCCCAGTCATTGACGCAAATTCGTAACCCACCGCGTCGTCCCCTTAACCCTTTCAGCGACAAGTGTGAAAATGTATTAATCATAAATTGGTAAAGCTATATCTGTTGAAATTCCATAGGAGTGTCTGTTGGATACTTTCGTCCACAAGGAACTGGCGCCTGTGTTTCTTCGCTCCAACGGATGGGAACTGGTGCAAAAGTTGACTCGTTCCACTAAAGGGAACTCATACCTGGGTTAACGCGTCAGTCAAAAGGAACTGATACCTCAGTTAGCGCGTTTCAGTCAAAAGGAACTGATACCTCGGTTAGCGCGTTTCATTCAAAAGGAACTGAAGCGCGTTTCTGTCAAAAGAAACAGATACCTGAGTTAGAAACCAATACCTGAGCTAGCTCGTTTCAGTCAAAAGAAACTGATACCTGAGCTAGCACGCTTCAGTCAAAAAACAGATACTGACCTAACTCGTTTTAGTAAAAAAAGAACTGATACTGAGCTAGCGGTTTCAGTAAAAAACAGATACTTGGTTAGCGCGATTGAGTCAAAAGAAACAGATACCTGAGTTAGCGCTTTTCAGTAAAAAACAGATACCTGAGTTAGCGCTTTTCAGTCAAAAGGAACTGCTATTTGGGCCAGCTCTTTTTACTCATATGGAATTGGCATCTACCTCTAAGTTGGCTCGTTCCCGTCAAAAGAAAGTGATACATGGGTTAGCGCCTTCCAGCAAAGAGATTTGTACTTACGTTGGCTCTGTTCCTGAAGGATTGGTCCCTGCGTGCGTGCATGTCCGAGCAGCTTGTTGGATTAAGCATCCAAGTGGCATAACAGCGCCGAGTTCGTACATCTGCTAGTAGCCCTTGAGGGCGAACATTCACAGAGACCGTTTTATCTTTTCATTTTATGGTTAATCTTTTCTCTGTAGAAGCGACTCTGACCAAGAAAATTTGAAACACAAGTTCCATAAAAGACTATAATTTATAATAATTGGTTATTTAGCGATTTTATAGTTCTGCGAAATATAATGGTTATCATAATAATACCGGTGATAAAAGTAGGGAGAATGGCGGAAATGGAGAATTAATAAATACCTCAAGGAAATATTTCACAGCAATTAAAATTCTTACGGACAGAAGAGGAATTCTGATGGCCTGTGTACGGTCACAAATCCAGCACGATAGACCTGCTCGTGACCCGTACATTAACATTCAAAACATTCTACCTACGCAAGAATAGCGAGTTGAGACAGCATCGTGGAATAAAGTGAGAATCAACCGAGTTGTTTAACAGCTCTTT